CCCCCCCCCCAAACATCGATCAATGCAATAACAGTTCACAGCAATCATTTAGATTACCTTTGATTCTTTCAAATTTGCCGACGTAAGTGATGAACTTTATTAAAGTTCCTTTCCTAAAATTCACTGCAATAGCAATTAGGCTTTAAATTGAGTTCTTCCAAAACTCAACGTTGTCGACTTCACAACAGAATACTATGCTACTTAACACTCAATCAATACAGTTTAGACTATATTTAATGCCGCATTATCTGTTATCATGCTGATAACATACGCACTTGCTTTTACCAAAAAATATACACTCTCTTGACTGACATAAGCACAGGACAATCACAGGTGCCATAACTAATACGCGGAATTAAGCTGTTTTTCAACCAATAATGTTAAAATAAACTAAACTTCTGACATGAACATGTCTGAACATGTACATTTTTCTTTAACAATGGAAACACTTGCAATGCAAAAAAAAAAAACATAAATAAAAATAAAAATGAACATAACCATTTTTATAGAAATTCACCAAGGGTTACACCACTGACCCTCACATACTTCTTTAGCCAGAATCTTTTATAAAAAACTCACAGGACATTAATTTTGACGACTACACGATTATATATTGAAATGTGTTCATGCAAAAACATAATGTTGTAGTGATCACTGTGCGAAAGCACACACATGGTTCAGTTGCACATCAGTAACATTAGACTCCCGTGTGCCTAATATATGACTCCTGTATACCACTGTAATCATCTTTACCTTGATTACAGTCGTCATCCATCAGAACTTTCCTTGAACTGAAAACTTTCCAGGAGTTTACCCGTTTAAAATTCTGATTGCAAAAACATGCTTCTTTTCGCTTTTTAAAGTATTATATCATCTAGGGTTTTGGTCTATTAGATCTGCCCGTTTCCCCTGATCTCCTCTGTCTGTCTCTCTCTCCATTCCCGCAGCATTGGGTGTACCCAGTAGTGCAGTGTTGCTGTTTGAGCTGGAATTGCTACAGCTGCAGAAGGGTGTTCCTGAGGGCTTTTTGTTCATATGGCTGCAGGACAGTCCTGAGCCACTGTTTCCTGCCATGGACATGAACCAAGACCAGGAGGTACCACTGGAAGAGGTATGCTCTCTGCTGTCTGGCTTATTACTGTCAATGAAGCTATTTCCTTCTTAGTATATAAAAAGATGAATTAAGAACTGAGTAGTCCTTGAACTGATGGGTTATCAGTTTAAGGACCACTCAGTTCTTAATTCATCTTTTTATATAGGCCTCACACAAAATGTTATTGTTTTTAAAAGTATAAATCTAAAAATAAATTTGATTAATTATAAAGCACCTGGTTTTCTGAGAATTATTGTGATATCAACATGCCAGAAAATGTACCACCCAGTCTATTTACAAACAAGTTTAAAGCTATTTGTGTTCTATTCTCATACTTTTTTCATGTATTCCGCTGTTAAACACTATACTACAAAAAGAAAAAAAAAAAGCATGTCTGAAATAATGTGAACAGATGTGAACTTACAACAGGTCTTTAAAGGGTTTTAAGTTATCATTAAAAACTCAATTTCCCTATGGATAAAAAAAAGTTTTTACTTCTGGAACCCGACTGTCACTCTCTATGACTGCACTGATTCAACTGCTGAGATAATTCGTTGTCCAACTGAAAATACACTTTGGTTTTGTTAGAAAATATCGAAGGCTATTGGAGGGCCAGGACATACAGGCATGATGGCTCCAACCAATGATCATCTTTAAAAGAACTGACAAGCAGTTCTGTTCTGGTTCTCATATCTGATACAGATATTTCCCTCAGGCATTTCCCTCATTCAGTTGCGATTCTTCATGATTCTTGTCTGAGATCAAGCAATTTTATGGTCTTCACTTAAACTTAAATGACTAAAACAAGAAACTAGAGAAGTCTGTTTGTGAAACTTTTATTTTTTTCGGTTGCCACAACGAAACTTTGGTCACCAGATTATGTTGCAGTTATGTAACAGTCACGTATTTTTGTTAGCTGGGTAAATACAAAGCTTATTCTTCTCAGTCTTCTTCTGAGCTAAATTCTGGGTTATTCCTCTCAACGCGTCTTCTTCCAGAAATGAAAAGTAGGCGAGATGAACTGGCTTTGTGTATGGAGGTGATGTGGGCGTTTACATGCTTGTGTGTCTCACATGGCTAATTATCATATAAAGAGCCGCACTCGGCTCATGGGCATGAACACATTAAAGATAATGAAGTCAGATGGGAAAACTGGACATTGCAATGGTTTCATACTGATTACTTTATCACAGAATACAGGTGCATCTCAATAAATTAGAATGTCGTGGAAAAGTTCATTTATTTCAGTAATTCAACTCAAATTGTGAAACTCGTGTATTAAATAAATTCAATGCACACAGACAGAAGTAGTTTAAGTCTTTGGTTCTTTTAATTGTGATGATTTTGGCTCACATTTAACAAAAACCCACCAATTCACTATCTCAACAAATTAGAACACTTCATAAGACCAATAAAAAAACATTTTTACTTTTCCACGACATTCTAATTTATTGAGATGCACCTGTATTTGTTTTCGATAAGACTTATTTAAAAGTAGACACTTCAAGCTTTCTATAGATATATGTCTGTGTGTCAAGTATTCACTGAATTTTGGTTCTTTTTCGTGACGCGTTTCAAACAGATATTCGCAGAGACCAAGATGGCTGAAAGTGCACCCTGTAAATTTTCTTTATTTTACAAATGCACCATGTTTTGTTGATATTGTGAGTGTACACAAATAAAAGTAGACCCTTTATAGATTTGAATGATGAGTAATCAAGTTATTTTGGGCGTTATCAGGACAAAATGCCACAAAACGTGCCAGCACATTTGTCGACCCCTGAGGGTTAATCAGTGAGTGTGGCAGGCTCACTGAATGAGGAGCAACAACAACAGTTTCTAAACGTGACACCCTCCATTCCAACAGAGTTGTTCTGAATCGGCTAGCGTGGCACTAGCTTTACTTTTGCTAGGTTCAGGAGAAACAATGTTGTTATAATACATTTTTGCATTTTATTTAAAAAAGCTAGGGATTGTTTGTAGCTTTTGTAGCAATTCAGCTTCCCTTGCTTGACTTTCTTTTTAAAACCGTATTTTCACTCATCCATTGGTTTTATATTTATTTTCCTTATTTTTATTTTCCTTATTTAACAGTCTTCTACACATCCTTATATTACGCAACGATCTTCATTCACCTCTAGATGTCTCTCACCGCAGAACAGCATTGTTAATTTTATTTAAATTATCTATTTGATTTACCACAAATAATGGTTTACAACCAGTGTTAAGACAAAAAATTTTCATCATGATTTTCGTCAAAGACATTTTTTCACAGACGAAAACGAGACGATAACGAAATAAAAACTCGTTTTGAATGACAAAAACAATGACGAAAATCTATTGACATTTTCATCAACAAATAAAAACCGAGACGAAATATTAGGGAGATACGATTGGACAGAGATCCAGTCAGAATGAATCTCCCGCATGGGAAGGAGGGTGAATGCATACATTTGAACTGTAACTCTCTGATCATAAAATTTCTGCACAGCTCATAAAACATAAAAAATGTCAGTGTCTGGGAGAAAGAGAAGAGCAGACATATGGATACATTTGAAAAGTGTGACGATGCAAAAGAGCACTTAATTCGGTCCGTTTTTCTGAGTGCACACAGCCGAATCCTGCACAAAAGCACCTCTCAAACAGTGCACGATTACTGAATTCAGTTCTCTCTCGCATCTTAATGAAGAAATACACACAAAACGATCTCAAATTGTCCTTTTTGACTAGTATTCATGTAAACACACACATGTAACTTACATCTTAAGTTAAAGGGGTCATATGATGCGATTTAAATGTTTCCTTTCTCTTTGGAGTGTTACAAGCTCTTGGTGCATAAAGAAGATCTGTAAAGTTGCAAAGACTAAAGTCTCAAATCCAAAGAGATATTCTTTATAAAAGTTAAGAGTCAGCCACACCTACCTAAAACGGCTCGTTCTAACACGCCCCCACATATCTACGTCGCTCTGTGGGAAGATTTGCATAACGCCGCCCAAATGTTCACGCAAAGAAAGAAGGCGTAACTTTTATTCTCACTGTAGTTTTGTTGTTTCCACTGCCATGTCGTAAAGACGCTGTGTGCTTCGTTGTAAAAGTGAAACTACTTTGTTTGGTCTTCCAAAAGAGGACAATATCGCTTCGTCATGCCTGGAGCTGATCCGTGCTGGTCGATGGGGAAATACTACAACTTTGCGCTGTCGATCGCCGGATCGGCTTTCACCGTGGACAAAGCGGAGTCCAGCCCGGGGTCGTCACATGTCCTTGCGGACGCTCCTTCGTCGAAATCGCCGGCCGCATTTCCGTCTCACGCTTGAGGTATTCGGCCAATCACAACGCACTGGATAGTTGGCCAATCACAGCACACCTCGCTTTTTCAGACCGATGAGCTTTGTAAAAAAAAGAAAGGCGGGGCATAGAGGAGAAACAATAATGTACAGTATGTGGAAAATAGTGTGTGTTTTTAACCTTAAACCGCATAAACACATTTCATTACAGCAAATACACAAAATACTGTTCTTTTTAGCAGCATCATATGACCCCTTTAATGTAAACTGTTGGGAGAATATCGCCAGTATATTGAATATGTGTGCATTCAGATTTAAAGGGACTAATTTAAGTTTTTAAGACTAATGTAGTTGTTGTCTTTGTCCTTATTATTAATGAATCAACAAAAGAGAGAGAGAATGAATGATTCACTTTAGTAGCCCTAAAAAGGATTAATCTAATTTTAATTTATATAAATATGTCTGCTTGAAAGAATGAAGGATGTTGTATGCAAGTTGTTATAAAGAATGCACATTATATAACAGGTATTTCATTTGGTGTTTTAAAAGAGGACCACGTTCTTGTTTCTTTATGAGAAGTGGTTTTATTTAATTTTGAGATAAAGACATGTTATGTGTCAAAGCAGTTGTGTCTATATTGCATGTTCAAATCATTCATATTACCAGATGTTTTCTCCAGGAATTCATAATGAGTTTGGAAATTTTAGAGAAATGCCTAATAAATGCATTACACTGTAACTAAACCCATTAGATTTTAGTTGACTACATTTACTGTATATTTAGTCGACTAAAGTCTTATGATATTTAGTTGACTAAAACTAGACTAAGACTAAAACAATTCAGATGACTAAAATGTGACTAAAACTAAATGTAATTTTATGCCAAAGACTGACTAAAACAAAATCTAAATTTGCTGTCAAAATTAACAGTTTACAACTACAAGCTAGGGATGTAACGATTCACTCAACTCACAATTCGATTCGATTCACAATTTTGATTTCACGATTTGATTCGATTCATGATTTTATTTTATTTTTTTAACAAAATGAGATTTAAGACAAATTATAAATTAAATGTGTCCTTTTATTATTGCTTGGACAAAATGCTGCACATTTCTTTGTGAAATTGAAATATAACACTATAATAATATACTAATATAACACTTGCATATTACTGCTCTTTTGTTGGTTTTGATTGCTTCTATTGTCCTCATTTGTAAGTCGCTTTGGACAAAAGCGTCTGCTAAATGACATAATTTTAATATAATGTAAATGTAAATAAAAAAACTACATTGAAATTTTAAAACAAGCCCCAAATCAAATAAATAAGTAACACAAAAAAAAAGAAATCTCTTCGATTTTCAACCGGCTCGCGGTTAATCGTTACATCCCTACTACAAACATAAATCAAAATATGCAAGAATATTCGGATTGTTAGTGACAAAAAAGGGTAACATTTTAATTTAAGAACCATTTTTCAATATTTACTAACTATTAACTACAAATTCAAATTCCTAATTTACTGCTTATTAATAGTGTGTAAGTTGTTAAGCCTAGGTATGTGGTAATATTAAGGGATCTAAAATATGTTCATGCAGAATAAGGCATTAATATATGCTTTCAAAGTACTAATAAACAGCCAAATGCTAGTAATATGCATGCTAATAAGTTAATAAGGGAATAATTGGACCTAAAAAAGAAGTGGCTGCATTACCACATGTAAATATATACCTGC